GAAGATGGCCCATCCCAAATTACCCCTCAGGCCTCTACTCCTACTCAGGGCGGTAGCCAGATCAGTAGTCAGGAGCTCGAGAAGCAGCCTTCTCCGCCCCCTGTTCCGACGGTGGTCACAAGCCCACCGACCGAGAACGAGAGCCGCAACCCGTACCACCGCATGCTCTCTCACTCATCCGAATCCACCTCGGCCCCGAGCGAACCTTCCGCACCTGCCGCCGCCCCTCCCCCACCCCCGGCGGCTGCGCAGTCTACTAACCCCTTCCACCGTATGGCGCAAGAGAGCAAGGCAGCTCCCGCAGCTGCCTCTCCCCCGGCTCCCTCCGGACCCTTCTCCCGCAAGCGCCCTGATGAGGACGATGACTGGGGCACGGATAAGGAGGACGATGAAGATTCCGACGATGATGACCGTCCTGGCGGCAGTAGCGCTGCGGCTCTGGCTTCCATACTGTTCGGAACCATGGCCCCCCCGCGACCACTTTCGGCCACCGGAGACAAGCCGATGTCTAACCCTGTCAGCCCGGCCATGGGCAGCGACGCCTCACCTGCGTTCCCTCCTCCCCCGCCGCCTATGCCAGCTACCGGTGCTCCTCCTCCCCCACCAGGCCCGGCACCCGAGGCTCCTTCGGCCCCTCCTCCGCCACCGATGCCGGCATCGCCCGCACCAGGTGGCCCGCCGCCGCCGCCGCCTCCTCCCCCTCCAGGCATGGGAGCTCCCCCGCCACCACCTCCCCCACCACCGGCGGGTGACGCACCGTCAGGGCCTCCAGCAGGTGGACGGCCCGCGGGTCTGCTCGGGGAGATCCAGCTTGGCAAGGCCCTGAAGAAGACTGAGACTCGCGATAAGAGCGGTGCCGCTACTGCAGGCCGCGTTTTGGATTAAATGCTAGGTGCTAGTTTCAATAGTCCGTGCTGGATGTGGCTGGCTGTGGATGCAGGTGAAGGATGTCACGGGGCAGGGCATGGAGAGAGACAGAGAGAGAGAGAGAGATGACGAGAGGAGAAAGCTATGTCCAGGTAGTTTCCAGGCTTAGTTGGGAGTAGGTTCAGTTCACATGTGGCAAGATTTGTTCGCTAAGAGAGGAAGGAAGGGGTTTTGGAGGCGTGCAGCAGTAGGTATTGTTCTCATTATCATACAGATGTCCCACACCAACTAGTAATGCAAACCCCGAATTTCTTTTCTTTATCCTCACTCAAGTCTCTTTCGTTTTTTTCTTGGCCCGTGACCTCCCCCCTCTCTCTCTCCCCGCCGCCGCCCGGCCGGCTGGCTGATCAGTCCGTCGTGTCAAACAAAGAATCTGAGCTGTGGGATCCGGCGCGAAGCTGCGCTAGCTCTGGTGTTGTCGGGACCATGCGTTGCGTGTGCGTTTGAGTGCCTCCTCTTTTTGTTTTTTTTGGTCCCTGAGGGGTCCTGAGAAGCTTGGGTGGCGTAAAGTTATTTCTAGTCTTTTTTTTTTTTTTCTATTCCGACGCCTGATCGAAAGGATCGTCTCTCTCTCTCTCAGTCTACGCAGGGAGAGAAGCGCAAGGTCAGGCCGGTGCGGGCGGTGATGGCGTCATTGTGGTGGTGTGAAGGTGTTTGTGCCGTGTCTGAGTCCTACCCTTCTTCCCGAGTCTTTTCGGGGTACGGTTTTCCGATCTACGAAGAGGTTTTGAGTTTTTGGCTTGGGGGTATACCTCCTGTTGTAGTTGATCTTCGAGGTGAGGAGGGGGTAGATCTTTTCTTGGCAGGTTAAGAGGGGTGTTTTTTTTTTTTAAAAAACTCTTCTATTCTTTTAGTATCCCGTGGGTAGGGACGGCAAGTCTGGAGTCATGTTGGCAGGTAGAGTAAGGCTATGAGGATGAGGGAGCCAAGAGAGGGTTCTGGTATGTCTTGCGTTCTTTTTTTTTTTCTTTTTCGAGAAACCCTTGATGGGGATTTCTGGAGCTTGAGCTAAGTCAAGGTCCTGTGTGTATCAGTTTCTACGCTGGGTTTACACGCATCTTTCGGCCCATGACGGGCAGGACAATGTGAAGATCTACTAGAATGGTGAAAGGGAGCCATGTAGCAATCAATGTAAATACCATGACCCTGCAGTTAGGTCTCCTCTATTGCCGTGTCATTGCATATAAGCCAAACGCGACTTCGGGACGCGTTTTCATTCTTTTTGAGAGAGGTAGTTGTGTGTTTGTTGACATTCAGGTTCTTTCGTCTGATAGTTCCTGGATCCATGAGAAGATGGTGGGAAGGGCAGAGAGAAAGAGGTGTGGTCAAACGGTTCACACCCACCTGATGCGGCGCTGAATGGGGGGGAACGAGGGTGGCCAAGGTGGCGTAAGCTGCGATATCTCGCTTTGCTATCGCGCACTACTGCAGGTTCTTCTTTTTCATGTGCAACATATTACGACATGAGCGAGTCTAGCTACTGCAGTCTGCAGGTAATCCTTCTCCGCGCAAACCAAGATCACCAAGGTGCCCCCTCTCTCTGACCCGGATTTCTCGGGAGCGGGCTGCTTTTTTGGATCGGGTTCCTAGCTGTAGAGACTAATGTAGGCGCGAGGGCTGCTGAACACCGTGGTGAAGAGGGAAAACGCTCTAATGGAGGGGCTAGATATGCAGGTCGATCGACCTAGTCTTTCTTCGTGGCAACTCGACACGAAAGAAAGCGAGCCTGGACGGGATAGCTCCAGAGAGCGTGAGAGCTCCTACCTAGTATCTACTACTGCCACTGAGAGAGTTGCCACTGAGATGGAGGTACAGGAGGCTGAGCAAAAGCTATCAAAAAAAAAAAAGACGTTCAACGTTCAAGGTTGAAATACGGTTGCACTCGGCTAGGAAGCTTGGGACAGGAACGACATGAAGAAGGAGGGGGTGGATCTACGGGTCCTGTGCTTCCCCTCCCCCCCTCTTCGCGTGTTGGAGCTTCTCACCCACATTTGAGGGTTGGACGTTTCTTGGGATCTGCAAGTCACTTTCGCCCCGTGGCAGAGCGAGCAGCTCACCAGCTGTAAAGGCGAGATGGTGAGTCCACGTCGGTCGTCGGAGGTAGAGTCTTTTGCAGGACATGCCGGGGACTCGGGAGAGGGAGCGACGTGCTCTGCAGAGTTTCTGGCCTTTGGGGATATCTTTCTCGTTGGGCCCCGGACCCAGGCTGTCACGGTCAGAGGGACAGCGAGTGCAGCACTACGACCTCGATGAAACATATGCACGGATGAGGTGCTCGTGAGGTGGAATACAAGATGAACCCCGGTTTAAAGCTACCCTGGGAAATCCTCCCAGCCACCGGACTTTTTTTTCTTTCTCTTTCTGGCCTCATGGAAAAGTTTGGAAACGACCATGGAAGGAAGGATTAGGGGTGAAAACGGGCAGACTTGGTGTGCTGTTGAGACTCGGGAAGATCGTGTGTCTCGGTCCTCCGAGTCTGTGTGTTACAGTTTGTGAGGGCCGATTGGGCTCCGGGGTGGCGCTTTGTAAAAGAACGCCGAATGCTCTCGAAGGAAGCGGGATGGGATATTTCTGGAGCGTCCTGAGGTAGTCCCAACAATGGAAAGGCCGAGTTACAGAGCAACACCCACCTGCGTCTTACGACACGGCTTGAATGTGAGGGAGGAATTAGAATGCGATGAATGGCCTGAAATGTCCTGGATGATGGGCCGGAGATCGGACGTTGGCCTATGCTTCATGCTTGCTTTTTCGTGAATGGGACGGGGGCCCTGTCATCTGGTCTTTTACGAACCAAACTTGCAAGACTTAGACAGTAGAGCCGGGGGACCCGTTTTCCACACCAGCTTTCGCACGTAAAGCAAAAGTATTTGGCAAAACTAGCGAAAAGAAGAAGTCGAAATCGAGGCGGACGGATGGGCCATGTTGAAAAAAGCAAATGAGATGGCAAATGCGTTGTCCATTGTTGGGAAGACCGGAATGAAGGCATTGCTGGCGGCAATTGGGCATCTAGAGTCGGCCAACTTTTGGTCGTCAATGCTTCTTTCTAGGGTGCTGAGGATCACAGACTCAACGTGGGATCGGTAAACGGACGGACGGCGACAGTGCGCGTGAGCTGAAATGCGCCCAAAGCTTTCCTCGGCTGCCTTGATTTTTCTGGACTACGGAGTACAGCCCGTCGGGTTATCTGGGCGATATGGGGCCTTCGGTATGGCCTGACATGGGGGATGAAGCTGGGGTTGGAAAGACAAGTTTGCTTGGAGATGATAAGGTAAGGTAGAGCAGGCAGGTCGCAGGCCGTAGGTTGGCATATGCGGTGGTGGTCCTCTCCTCTGGTACGGAAAATGGACTATGGAGTATCGTCACGCTAGAGACGACACGCCGGACCAGGTCGGTACTGAATCAGAGATGAAATGGGAATGAGAATGGGAGAACGGCCGGCACTTTGAGCGGGTATATCAAAAGCAGCGCTATTAATATCGAGCAGGCAGGGATACACGCTCCGGGGGTACCAGAATGAGAGTGACAGTCTATGAGAGGGAAATGATGGAGAGAAACGCAGCCGTACGGAGTACAGTAGTGCGATGCAGCGGCGCGCGGGTTGTGGTCCGCTGCGAACGTTTGCATTTGTGCATTGAAACGGACAGATGAGAGTCCCATCAAACATCCAACGGGTGTGAGCTGGCAGTTGCGCCCGGGCCGGGAAACGCACGAGAATGAGGAACAAGAAGACAAAAGAGTAGTCAGAGAATGACGAAAACTCTGTTGCATTTCTGCCATGTGTCTCTGAATTTCGATTCCATGAATTACTCCATATCGTCTGGCACAGGGAAGTGAGGATAAAAATTTGATCGCCGGAGCGGATTCCGTGGGGATCTCGATGTCTCCCCCCCCCCCCCCCCCCCCCCCCCCCGCGCGAACAGAGGGGGAGGGGGGCCCGGGCGCGCGAGGGGGGGGAGGGAGGCGGGGGGGGGGGGGGGGGGAGGTGGGGGGGGGGGGGGGGGGGGGGGGGGGGGGGGGGGCCCCCCCCCCCCCCCCCCTTCTCTTGGGCAGAACAGAGGGAGGAAGCTCCAGTGTCAGTAGAGCACGAGGTGGGAAAGATGCCGAGATGGGGATAGCGAAGAGTCAGAATTCGGGGCGAGCTAGATGCGTTGTCAATGATGTGCGAGATGGGATATCTCCCGTAGGGAAGATTTGCATCTTATGCGAAGATCGACTGACAGGGTGTGACGACTGGGCTGAACCTGGCAGTGGAAAAGCCAAGACAGGTATGGTACCTGGTGACCCCTCTTGGTTTGTGAATGGATTGCGCAGAATTGGGAGGGGAGGTTCACACGGGAGAGGACGCCCGTCAGGTACCGGAGGCCGGAGCGATAAGGCGAGCGGTGAATGGTGAATGGTGAATGTCAGTGCCAATGGGGGAATCATGAATGGGACGAGAAAGAATGAGTGGTAGGAGATGCAGCGGTAGGAAACAGAGAAATTGCTCCCCAGAACCCTGCTTGGTCTGCACCACACCAGCTGAGCCAGAGCGTTGCACTTGCACTTGCACCTGCCTGCAGACGCAGACATTGCTCGCACTTGCGACTTGCAAGTTGCACGCATTCCCACTTGTCCAGGTGCAGTTGGCAGTTGCAAATTGCAGCACCTACCTCAGCGTGCTCAGTTCAGGTACGTATAACGGTACGTACTTTCTGGACTGGGGAGTGGCTTCGAGACCGGGTGGGACCTGATGACAGGAACAGGCAGGGTTGGAAATTAGTCTAGTCTAGTCTAGTATGGCCTGGACTAATACTAGGCTAGTTTAGTATGGCCTAGACTAATACTAGTCTAGTATAGTATAGGCTATACTAATACTATACTAGACTAGTATTAGTATACTAATTAGTATATATTTAAAAAAATTGTTTCTAAATTTAATGTTAATCCTTAATTATAAATATTTATTAGTAATAAAATAAAACTATTAGAAATTGTCTTTATATAGCTATAAAAGCTCAAATACTCTTATTTAAATAAAATACTCTTAAAGTATTAGCTTTTTTTAAAAGAAATTAAGAATTTGAAAATTGAGTTAAAATATTTTTTAATTAAATAGGTTTACTTATGTTTACTATAAAAATAATTTTTATTATATTTTTTAAATTTTTTTTAGATTTTTTTAAAATTAGTATTTAAATTTCTAAAAATAGTAATAAAGTTACTATAAATAGTATAGTTTATACTAATTAGTATACTAATTAGTATACTAATACTAGTCTAGTCTAGTACTAGCTATACTAATACTAGTCTAGTATCTTAAAGGGTGGACTAATACTAGACTTACTAGTACTAGACTAGACTAATACTAAATACTAGTAGTATTTTTTCCAACCCTGGGAACAGGCAAGAACGGGCAAGAAGTTGGGAGCGCCTAGCAAGTTGGTCCCAATTCTGGTTGAAACATTGTCAGCCCGCGGAACCAATGAGACGGCTCGAGGTGGAAACGGTTTGATTGGGGATCGAGAGTTGGGGCCACGTCCGGGCACTGGCGGAGACACGAGGTTTCTGGAAAGAGCAGCCAGGAAACATGTGCGAAGGGATTGGTCATTGCAGCATGCTGGCAGTACTTCGTGCCTTACGCAGTACCTACGGCGGTAGCGAGAAGGGATGATGTCACGGATGGGGGGGAAAGAGCTCGGGAAGGGACTTTCCCGCTCTCGGTATTTCGTATTATCGGATGCCCTGGGCCATTTGGGTCGTGCGGCAATACCTAGGTAGACCGACCTTACCTAAAGGTACCGAGTACGGATACTCACCAACGGCTGGCTTCACTTCGGGAGTCTCATATCTCCATCCCGTCAAGCACGTAGCAGCGATCATGGACTCATAGACCCAAGGCAACTTTACAGAGAGAATTGGAGCGAACAGGTCACCGGTATCATGACTAGTGTCAGATGCCTCTCCAGCCCGTAAGCCCCCAGTGGCTCCCGTGGTCCTGTGCCTGACAGTAAGGAGTGCCGATGATGAGATGTTGTCTTGCTTTCCGAGACCCTTTCCCCGTACCTGGCCTCGCTGTGCTTCTAAACACTCAAGTTTCGGGCCCGGTGGAGAGACACATGTCGTAGCAGTCTTGTCGCAATTGGCGCCACGGCCTGGACGTTGCCTTTTTGTGCAACAGATCAATGGCTACTTCCGTTTACTTGTGATTGATAGACATGGGTTGAGGCGAATACCTAGTGACACTCACAAAACTCAGACCGCGGGCTGCAACCCGTCCACCCAACGTTCGTTGAACGTCGCCCATTTAGACATGGCATGCTTATTCGTCAGGCTCGCTCCAATGCGACACCGCGGCTGTCGTCGCCTTTCCGCAGAGGGCAAAGACCCAATCGACACCGCTCATCATCCATGGCATTATTAGCCTTCCAAGGTTTCCCAACGTATATCCGTGCAGCTGCTGTTAGTGTCTTCACGGCCGGCGATGGGCGCTCCAGAGTGCTCCCTGCGCCGAGGCTCGAGCATTTTTTAGTCATTGTTGACCTACACTAGAAAGCCATGGGTACCCTTTCTGAGCAGCGCCCCATCTAGCCCAGTTCTAGAAGTCTGTTCCTCGCGGTTGGGAATCAAACAGCTGGGATGATGGAAGGAAAGCATTGACGAGAATTTGGATCGTTCTGATGGGATCCTCGATAGGCACGGACAGGTTGGTCATGCTCGGCCCAAAAAGACCCGTCTAGCCGTCCAAGACTTTTGAAAACGCAGAGCACGAGGCGAGAGATGAGATCAGGCGGAATGAGCGCGCGCAATCGTCTCTCATCTTATATCATCGGGAGGTGAAGTGAGACGCCCGTCACATTCCGTACCTGACGATCTGGCCAGCATTAGACGGGGGGTGGTCTTGGTACCTGGGTCTCGGTCTCAGTTTCACAGCGGGGACAATCGTTGCAAGACAGCCTAAGCCATTAAAAAGACTAAGATGGGGTGGAAAGAATATGAAAATTTGTTTAAGTGGTGTCAGTCTGACAAAAAAGAAAAAAGATGTCGTCCAGCCTTTCCAGCGGTTATCCGTGGTTTGCTTTCCGTGATGGCTCCTAGGTACTCCTAATGGGCCCATGAGTTGGGATGACCCAGTTTCATCGGATGGGGGCACGGCGGCCAATCAGGAGTACAGTCATGTGATTTGGCCGTTTTGATTGGCTCATGGTGGACGCGTTTGTTGTTTTCTTCCCAAATCGGTGAGACGCGTCGGCCACGCGCCGACTTCATTCCATCATCCATGGCCTGTGCCTCGAACCCTCGACCCAATCAATCCCAGCAGCCAGCGCAAGAAAGAGGCCATCCCAACGAGACCAGATGAGGGCACCACAGAGAGGACACCAGAGCCGTCGCAGAGCGAGACAGTGACCTCTTTTTGAGCCCTCACAGGCTCGCACACAATCGCAATCGCGCCACACAGCCATTACCATTTTTGTTCGCCTGTGTGTCTTCTTAGATAGGAAACCTATTTCATCACGGCTGCAAACCAGATCAGATCAGCCAATTGACGGCAGACGAGCGCTTAGCCGAACAAGCCACAACCGTGAGGAAGACTAGCATTTCGGCCATTGCCAGAGCAAGAAAAGGCAAACTCCATGGTCTATTTTTCGGGTCTTGCACTACCAGCTGGACTCGACCATGTTTGGCCTGGGCTTCCTTTGACACTTTGGTAGTCTCGAGATAGTCGCAACACCACCAAGGACGAAGTCGAAGAGTCGAGGACCGGAGCGATAGCACAGTTTGCACCATTGCCCACAGCATCCACAGATATTTCCCCGGCAGAGCCCTGCATGCAACACCATTCGCTGCCCGTCAAGCTGCATCTAGAGGCTCTAGCTGCTATCTACAGCATCCATCCCTGTGGCGTGCTGGGAAGTAGGGGACCTTGGGGGTGGTTCAGTGGTGCTGGTGCATATGCAGTGGAAATTCAACCTTTCTTGGTGGCAGACACGCGCTCATTTTCACGTTTCTGTTGGAAGACAGCGCGCGAAAAAGAGGAGTCTCGTACGCAGTACTGTGGTACATACCTTACAGACTTACAGTAAAGCCCGTCGGCGGCCCACCACGGACTCTCGCATGAACTGCAAAACCTGCTTGCATACAGTACGTGCATAGCATAGCCTTCCCGTCCTGTCGCCAGCTTTCGCCCATTCACATTTCGTACAATCGTCGTCACCTCTGGGCTTTAGGGAAGTCTGGGATCCTCTTTCGTCCACAGCTTCTCCTCCTCTGTCTGCCGGACGTAACCCGCGCGGACGCCCTTCCCCCCTCCTCCCTCCCCACTGGAACTGAGTCTGACAGGCCTGGCCCCGGGAGCCCTGAGCTTCTTCTGCTTGTTCTTCTTACTACGTACCTATCTCGAACTTCGACCTGAATTGGAGCCGGGTGAAAGTCTGTTCGACTTCAACCGACCTGGCTGGCTGACCCTCTCTTTTCTTTCGACCGCGTAGCCCAAGCAAACGCGCAAAGACAAACGCAAATCCTCATCCTCCACGCCTGACAGAAACCAAACGGTGACGGCTAAGGGCACCGACCCCGGATGCGAGCAGCTCTCTGTCTAGCGACTTAGTATCTAGTCACCTGAGGTAGTATATCTTCGGATACCTTACACAGACTGGACTGCACTACTACAGTCCCAAGTGTGCGCACTTCTTTCTGATCGCTCTCCCGCTCGGCGACGGTTGGCTTCTAACTTCGACCTCTTTTTTTTTTTCTTCCGGGACGGCGTGTTCCAGCAAACGGTCGACCTTGCCGTGCATCCCATCATCGCCCATCCATGATCCTCCTCCACCTTCTTCACACTTGACACTACTCCATAGTCCATACCCATCATCCATGCATGCTGCTCATGCTGCCACCTTCTGTACCTGTGCCTATGCCATCGCACCCCGGACGATATCAAGCACACGCACATTCATACTCGCTCTCACGCTCACTCACATTCGCGCACACCACACACACCTGCTCCATTACACTCCCTGCATCTAACCAGACTACGGAGGTCCTTTACACTACACACCCTTGCTGCCACTTCGGCGTACCCTAGCCTGGTCGGTCGTGTCACAGCCCACGCTCCTCTTGTCCAATCGCCCATTCCTCCCGTGCTCCAGAGGCCCCACCGGACATCTCTGGGCTTGCTGAGCTGGCCGCCCACCTCTTCAAAGACATCCCGGTCCTCTCCACTCGCCTTGGCTGAAATCAATCCATCTATCCATCCTTCTGCCGCCGACTCCCACACTTTGCTCTACCTACTCCTCCTCCTCCTCACTGCCTGCTCTGACCTACACACGCCTGCTACTACTACCACCACCACCACCACTACCACCGCTGCCGCTGGCTCGCCTATTACATCTTACCTACCCTCCTCTCCCTCGCGTGCTATCGTGCCTGATATCCCCTCTTTTCTTTTCACCTTTCTGCAGCCATAAGCCATACCTCCCTCACCCTCGTCTGCTGCTCTTCTCTGACTCTCTCGCTCTCACACACACACTCACGCTCACACCCCATTGCGCTTTATCGACTTCGCACAACATCGTCGTCGCCGCTCTTCAACGTTGTTTGTCGGGCACCACTCTTCGCAGAATATCGCCGTCGCTTGCCTGATCGCATCGTGTCGATCCAGCGATCCCGTCGCTAAACTTACAATTCGACCGCCAAAAGGCCCCCTTGCATTCACGACCCACAACTCATTTCCAAAGTCTAGACCCGACCTAGGTGAGCCTTGAGTCTCCTTTCTCTTTCTCCTCCCTTCAATCATGCAAAACCCCGTTCGGGTTCAAGAACCTTGAAGCCGGGCCCTGTCAGGTTGACAGAGTCAAGACCACACCGTCAACTACTTATCTAACCTTATGCCTTTGCGGCTCGCTGACATGCCCTCCCTCCCACAGCCCACTACTTGCCGCGAACGCACTTGACGCAGGTTTGGAGACGACATCATTCAACTACACTCGGCCGACATGGCCAAACCCACGCGCTATACCGGCTCTCATGAGCCTCTGCAAATCTACCAAGACGACTTTTTCGAGAACTCGACAACAATGATCAACCACGCACCCATGCCTGCCGCCTCCAAGCCACCGAGGAGGCCGCTTGGCACAACAAGTAACAACAATGTCGTCCTCAACCCTCCGATGCTCGCATCCGACAGACACTCGCCTCTAAAGGCATCATCAGGCAACATCAAATCGCATCATGCCCCGTTGAAGTCCCAGGGTAGCAAGTTAAACATGGTGCCAATGGCGCCACCATCAGCAAACAACCAGAACACCGATTCGCTACACAAGAAGCCCTACTTATCCAAGTTCAAGACCGTCGCACAGAAGCCTCCTTCTGTGGATTTGGCCGCCGGATTCGGGAAGGAGAACGTTCACCCGCAGTTGTATCCTGCGCCACCGACCATCAACTTTGATCAGTTCTACATGCACAAGGGACCCGGAAAGCGCACATTGATGGAGGCTGCACCGATCAAGGAATCACGACCTCTGAAGAAGGTAAAGGCCGATGAGTCCGGCCTTCCACCTCACGACTCTTTCCCTCCAATCGTCGACGATGGGACGAAACCGGGCCACAGCTACGCCACTTTGATTGGGATGGCAATTCTTCGATCACCACTGCGACGCCTGACGCTCGCACAAATTTACAAGTGGATCTCAGACACGTACTCGTTTTACAAGGCGGAGGAGTCGGGATGGCAGAACAGCATTCGGCACAACCTCAGCCTTCACAAGGCCTTTATCAAGGTGGAACGACCAAAGGACGACCCGGGCAAGGGAAATTACTGGACGATCCAGGAGGGCATGGAGCAACAATTCATGAAGGACAAGCCGGCAAGAAAGACGGCAACGACCGCCGAAAACGTGCCTGTCATGTCAACCCGTATGGAACCCTCAAGGCCGGCCAACATGCCGATCCAGGAGCCGACTCTTCCGCCTCCTGCACCGATCAGACATGCAACAACGCTCCCGCCTTTGCCTACTTCTCAGGCTACCGTTGCCGTTGAGTTCTCATCCGATGCCACCATTCCTGTCTCGGACTCGGCCGCACCTGAAGATGGACAGGATAAGCTGGACCACGAATGCTCTCCTCTGCCGCCTACGATGCATTCTTCACCGCCCATTCCGCGACACATGGAGCCCCGCAGCCGCACGCCTCCTCCGCCTGGCCGCGGACCTATGTCGTCCATCACCAGATCTCACAAGAGAAAATTCGCGTCCATGGATGACAGTGGTTACATCTCGTCTCTCGAATCCTCTGCTTTGCGCCCGCAAAAGACTGGCATTCTTACCTCAGAGGCCGATCGCCCTCGCAAGCGCAGTCGCGCTGGCAGGGCCGAGGATGAGATTGCTCGCTTGCGCGCGTCGTCTTACGATAGCCCTAGCAAGGGTCGGTCGTATAACGCGTTCGCCCCACCGTCCTCATCGCCGCTCCGCCAACAAGGGCAGATGCTGCCACCGCTCACGCCAGCCATGAAACTGAAGCCGCCTACCAAGGCCCCGCCTTCTGCCTCGCCCAACACCAATCTTCGCCAGCACCGCGAAAATGTCCGCCAGATGCTGCAGTCCCCGATCCGCAAGATGGTCGGCACCGGTGACGGCAACGCTCCGTGGAGCCCCGCTTTCAACTTGGACGAGAGCGTCTACAACTACAACCTGATGGCCGCTGGTGACTTTGACATCTTCCAGGACATGGACAACGACTTCTTTGACGGCCTACCTCAAGAGTCTCCCTCCAAGAAGTCTGGTGGAAAGCGACCCCGTCTTGAGCGTACTCACTCTGCCAATGCCTTGGCCGATACTCATGACTCGGGTAACGGCAACAAGTCGGTTCTCTCAACGCCCTTCCTGAAGGCACCCGCACAACCTTCTGCCATGTGGGAGACTCCTAGCAAGGTCTTTGACGGCCTGTCCTCTCCTATCAAAGCCAACAACGACGCCGCCGTGCAATGGAGATTCCCCTCGCCGACCAAGATATCTAGTTCATTCTACGAGGTAGCGGCCGAGGGCGACTGGCCTTCGTTCTCCTTCGACACGACAGACTTCTTGTCGGAGGAGACCACCGAGTACTCGGGTCTCGACATCCTGCAAGGCTTTGAGAAGATTGGCTCTGGCTCCCAGCCCAAGGCTTCCGGCTCCAAGCCCAGCAAGCCTGCGTTTGGACGAAGCTACACCACGCAATTCTAGTCTCTCGCGACGAGACGACGATGACGACCGTTACGATGTATGAACACACTTACTGGCATGACGTCCCGATGCATTCAGGCATTCAGGGCCTGTTTCGACACACTTCACACGATAATGGAGCGCGCGGGGGAAACACAAAAAACTTTGGGCTGATTTTAAAGACTAATGTCTGATTCGGGCTTCGAGGCTTTCACAATTCTCTTGTCCATGATTGTTTGCTTTATGATAATGACGAAGCAGTGCACATATAATGTCTTGGCTCTCCTTATTTTTTCTCCGATGGGCAAAGGGAGGGAAAGCGAAGGGACATCATCATTCTTGAGAGGCACGGAGGGCACCATGAGATTCTTGTGCGTTTTTCTGCTTTTGCTTTCGTCGGCCTTGGACCAGGTTAGGTTCGGCTCGATATTCGCTTTTTGCGTTTTTTATTGCTGTTTGGCCGGAACAGGCTATTTTGTTGTTTGTGTTTCTTGCTGTGTAGGAAAATCCGGGTTGGATGTGTAGCGTATTAGCTTCGCTCCTATTGCTAAGCACACTGGTAGTGATCAATTCTATGGAAACACGCACGAAACAGAGCCTTCTCGCAAATGTTGTTCAAGATGTCAATGATGAGATCACTGTCGCGAATAACTTATACAGTGTTCTATATTCCATTCATGTGGTTGTACTGTCCTTTATGTGGGCATTCCACATGATATCCGCAACAATCAAATCATATCCGACATCATCAAGAGCCCGGTGGCTTAGAAGCATGTTCAAATCAGCATGACTCTCGGCTGTGTGGTGTTACGTACGTTTGAGAAGATAATCATCTTCTCGGAACTAGTAAAGTCGTCGTAAATCATCGAATCATCGAAGAAGCTGGTTTTCGGCATGCGTGAGTGACCTCTCAGTCCCATGTTTGAACTCAAGAACGGGTATCATATTGTCTTGCTCTAAATTTCCCCAAATGTCCTACATGTCTATGTCTCGTTTGAATCATGCCTTGTTCCCAGAACGCCTCAGAATGTTGTGTACCACCTCTACGATATCTGCCAGCAGCGTCGCCGTCGTCATCCTGGGTTCGTTGATGTCGTCGTCCCCAAGCCGAACATGGAAAGACTATCCAAAGAAATTCGCATCAAATCCTGGAAAAAAAAGAAAAACCAAGAGGCATCTTGTCAAAAACATCTCATTATAGTCTCACAGTGTCGTCGTCAGCCCGAATGCGCAAAGTTTAGTAAATGCCCATCCTCGTAGCCCAACCCGACTCCTTTTGGTTAATATTGATCTGGTAGGGAAACGGGTTCGACCCCTGCGTCGTTATCGGAGGGATATGGTCCTTGTGTGCGTTGACGAAGGTAATGACCTTCATGACGGTCGTCATGAGCGTCGTCTCCATGGCTTTTCGGACTTTGGCTCGCTCTGGAAAAGTTTCACCGACAACGGTCAGCCTCTCATCTTTGTACGTCCCTCTACTAGTGCGCCCCCCTCTACCGGGTTGCCAAAGGAGGGCAAAGGGGTAGGTAGAACCAACCAGTCTCCGTCCTGGGCTCCGCGACCGTGACTTTTACGGTCCAGCATTCCCAACAGACCTCCTCGTCGCCGCGCATGAGCCAGGCCTTGCGACGCTTCTTCTCAAAGAACTGGACGGTGAGCTGGCCGCGCCCGCCGCCGCTACCACCGCCGCCGGAGCCGGACGAGGAGCGCTCCGCGTCGAGCTGGCGGACGAGGGCGGTGGCGCGCTGCTCGATCATGGTCTCGAGCTCGACGTCGTCGACGTAGGGGAGGGTCAGATCTAGGACTTCGCGGGTGTACGGAACGACGGCGGGGAAGAAGCGGTGGAAGAAGATTGTGTGGAGGATTCCTGTACCACGGTGACGAGGTTGTTTAATTAGCATTTATTCCTGTTCAAGGGCCATCACTATGGTTAATATGGTTTCGTGTTGCATGGCTTGGGTTCTGCACTTTGGAGGGGGACTGGTAAGGCAGGCGCCCGTCGCATCGCGAGGCTGAGAGGTTCGGAAGGTGTTGTCGTTCGTTTTGAGGGCGGATATGACGTCTGGCGGGGCGCGCGCGAACTGCGGGCTACCTATGGGAAAGAGGACTGGGGATGGGAGACGGGACACGGGGGACAGAGATGGTAGGTACCTTTGACGACATCCCGTACGGAGGCCGGGTCCGCAAAGGCCTCGAGAATGAACTCTGGAGCGCTGCTCTGCTGCATCGTGCCTTTTCTCGATTACGGGATTTTGCTTGGTGAGTTGGTTGTTCGACAGACAGATGCGGTTGGCGTGAAGGAGAGTGACAGATACTCTCTCCCTCTGCCTGAGGTAAGGTGAGGGAATGACCCAAAGAAAGGTGTCAGATGTACTGAGGGGCACACTTGAGCCCAGCATTGATGCGCCGCACCGATAAGGGGGCGGGCGGGCAGAAGAGAGCGGGGAGTCACTACCGCTGTGTTGATCCAGGGAGGGAAGGGACAGAGGCGGGGGGAGGACGGGATATCGGTAGCAGGGGTACTCTTCCTGGTTGGGAAAGGTACTCCCAAGTTCCCCGAGCTGGGTCCTGAGTAGAGAGTGGCCATAGCCTTGTGCAGTAGCAGCCCGTACGTTAAGGTACTTACGATACTTGGGCAGTCGTTGGTGGCGGGCAGCAAGGGCGAGCAGTGATGTACCTACACTACCTTACCGGGGAAGCGCTCGATACGGCGGCGGTTGCGGTACCGGCACTTCAGCCACAGCTGTTGGGGCAAGAGAGTTGGGAAACACGGGCATTAAATTGAGATGACGCGGGAACGTGGGTGTGGCTGGGCCGAGGTAATCACGGTTCACGACTCGCAGAGAGCAGTAGCCAGTCACTGGGCTTTCAGGCGCGAGCTCCTCTCCTCCTGGTCTGCTTAACTGCTCCAACTTATCATTACGTGCCGACCAGCCTTCCTAGAGCTCGCCCAGATAGCCAATTTTGGGGGGGTTTAATAGACAAAAAATCTCCCAATCTTCTTTTTTTTTCATATGATTCCCCTAGCAAGACGACCGCCTTTTTCTATTCTTTAACTCTTTAACTCGGTTCGAAAGCTTCAATCCGGGGTTCTTTTAACTATTCTCGCAATCTTTGTTGAACTTCAATCCTTCTGGTCCTTTCCCTCCATTCCCCTCTACCATACTCCGGATCGGACTCTATCTTTCCATCAACAGCCAGGCTAATCTCTCGGACATTTAGTCGCTCGCCGCGCCAGACCGAACCATGTTGGAAGCCACTCGGCGATGGTTCCGCCGAAATAGGACACCGCTCGCTGTGAGCGTGGGTGTAGTCGGCGCGGGTTATGTCGTGTCGCAGTATGTCATGGGCAAGATCAACGATGCGCGTGAGCGCATGAGCAGCGATCGCATCGCCAAGGAGAAGTGAGCTACATTCCCAAGATACCCTCCTCTAAGCTACCATGATCACCCTCCCCCGACTAACACCGCCGTGTCGCAATCGCAGCCTCCGCCGCCGATTCGAGCAAAACCAAGAAGACTGCACATTTACTGTGCTCGCACTCCTCCCCTCGGCAACGACGAATATACTCGAGGTCATGAACACGGAGAAGATCACCTACGAGATCCAGAAGATGAAGGGTCAGACCAAGAGCCTCAAGAGCGGCAGCGGCAGCCCGCCGAGCATCGCAGATACTACCATGACAGAAGACGACGGACGGAGCATGGTCAGCAGCAGCGTCCAGAGCGAGAGCGGTGTGCACGCGAGCCAGTTGACGGTACCGGCCCCGACGTCGGCCGCCGCGGGAGGGGCCGCCGAGGGTGCGCAACAGGATGGCGGCGCGGCGGCGCAGAAGAGTCGGAAGTCGAAGAGGCAGTTGTGGGATGATCTGACCATCAGCTGTGAGTGACGTCTATCTGATGTGATGGAGAAGGCGAGAGAGGGGAAGATTCTAACATTGACATCGCAGCCATAACAAGAGCGTTCACGCTATTATACACCCTCGCATTGCTGACGATGCTGACAAGAGTCCAACTCAACCTCCTCGGCCGCCGTAGCTATCTCTCGAGCGTTATATCCCTGGCGACTGGTACTGCCCAAGCGACTATCAGTCTGGAGAACAATGACGACGACGGCCTCGACCAGCCTTACGGCAACGACTTTGAGACGAACCGTCGCTACCTGACCTTTAGCTGGTGGCTCCTGAATGAGGGGTGGAAGGAGCTCGGCCAGCGCGTCGAGACCGCCGTCCGCCAGGTCTTTGGCCACCTGAGCCCGCGCGACCTGCTCAGCTTCGAGCAGTTCTCGGAGCTGACGCTCGCGGTGCGCAAGGCCGTTGAGGGCGCCACGCCCGAAGAGCGCAGGGCCGCAAAGTGGCTGCCCTACCTCCTTCCGCCGCGGGACAAGGAGGACCACGTCCTCCGCGAGTCGGGCATCCTGGAGGAAAGCACTGTGATGCTGTCCGAGAGCGCCACGTCTCAGTCTTCGCCGTCATCGTCGCCCGCAGTGAGAAGGCTGCTCGACGAGACGTCGGATCTCATCGAGTCGCCCTCCTTCACGCACGTGCTCACGCTCATCCTCGATGCCGGCTTCTCCCTGCTCGTGGATAAGAAGCTCTCGTCAGCAGCCTTTGATAAGCCGGACCTCGCCGAGTCGGAACCGCGCTCGTCGCAGGTGGTCGTACTCTTGCCCAAAATCCTCTCGGTCCTCACGAGGCAAGCCCACATCATTGGCAACGGGATGCCGAATGAGTACCTACAGGAGATGGAGCAGGTCGCCGACCTCGAGGGCTTTGCGGCCGTGGTGTACTCGAGCAATTGGGAGAATGAGATCCACCACGACGACGAGGGCATCATGGCGAGCGCCGTTGACGTGAGGGCCAGCGAAGTGCCTCGCGCCAGCCAGGGTACTGCTGCAACTTTCCCAAGTCAGACGCAGGGGACGACGCAGGGCACCGGAGAGGAGAGCCTCGTGATGGTGAACCCGCAGTCTAGCTTTGAGAGCGCGTGGGGGAGGGCGGTGGACAGCAAGTAGGCCTTCCATCCAAAATAGAGAGACATGACATGTACATGTGGCCCGAACCTCGATTGATGTTGTGTTCTCGAGGTGTGTGAGCCTGGCTATGACATTTTTAATGATATTTACGGGGTTATGGACAGGACAGGTGGGAAGGTAAGGGAGGGATGGAGCTGGAGATATAGGTATCATTGTATAATCTATGGTCAAGAGATAGACGGTTCATCTCTCGAATCTGTATCAACAAAGTACGGGGGTTAAGCCCAGAGCTGGAGATGGCGCAGCCTCCGTCCATTCCTTTGATCCATTTTGCTCAGCCCGCGATTCTACTGATGATTCTTTCTTGTTGTCAGGCCGTCCAGTGGTTCTGGGACGCCTTTTCTTCGTCTATGTTTGTGGTGGGGGGTTTCCTTCTTTAGGCATGAAGTGCGCAATCGGTGCCAGGGACTACAATGCATCTCGTAGACACGTTTGTTCCATGATGCCAGCCTGGCAAAAACTCGTTGCGGCTCGACATCGAATTCTCCCGTGTTGAGCTGTTGGGATTTTCCCCTTTCTCCTCCCCAGTTCTAAGGGCTCCCACTCACATATCGTCTTTCCCTGGGTTTGGTGTTTTCTTGTTCTTTGTTCCTTTCCAACCTGGCTGCCGAACGGCGAGAACGGTATCCTTTACATCAAGCCCCTGACGAACTGATCCAGACCCAGCTCGAAAAGTTCGTTCTTGACGCCTTCGCCGCCCTTGTGTTCGGCTGGTGCTAGGGGGTTCTTGACGACTGCAAAAAGAGGTCAGCAAGTTATGATCCGTTGTCAGGAAAAGAGAGGAAGCCCTCAGGGTGGGTAATTGTCACCGTACCGTATTCAACCCAGAGGTTGATATAAATCTGATGCAGCACATTCCGCATACTCAGCGTCGCCGTATCAGTAAGCATGACGAAGCGCAGGTTCGAGGGCGTCTCGTAGTAGTGGAGCTTGTAGGCCGAGGTGCGGTAGCTGATAAAGGCGTCATCGTCCCCGCCGAGCTTGCGGACCATGTTGCGGAGGGAGAAAACCGTGCCAAAGATGAGCTTGGCGTCGTCCTTGGCCGAGTTCACCTGGCTACGGCGGCCGAGCTGCTGTGATGGTGGTGGTGCGGCGCCCGTTCCGGCTGATGAGGGGGGTTGTTGGGATGGCGGGCGCTCGGCGGGGAGCCAGGTTTTTGAGTAGATGCATTCCGTGTGGCGGTCGAAGATGTAGAAGGAGTAGACGACCATGTTGGGCTAGGGGACGGCCGCGACGGCGGCGCGGGGGTTGCGCGTGTTTGCGCCGGGTTTCGGTGTCGTCTGGAGGCGAGGCGAGGCGGAAAGGGATGGAGGTTGGTCGTTTAGGGGCGCATGCCGGGGAGTTGTGCAGGGTTCGTAGATTGCGGATTGATTCTGTATCTCGAGAATTCGGGATTCGAATCTGTTCGTCTTCGGGTCGTCAATGAATTCGCTGGTTTTCGGTGTCGTTGGGTATCACTGGTTGAAAGTCGCAAGATGCTCATGAAGATACGAAGTAAGGTAGCTAGCTTGGGCGGGACGATTGAGTGTGGTCGGCCGTTCAGTGGCCCCAGCCCCGAAATGCGGCTACCGTTGCTTGTCTCGGTCGGTAGGTACCTCGGTGGACCTTTGAAATTGCAACTGTGAGCTGGAGCTGGTCCGATTGCGTAAGGTACAGGTGCTGGCAGGGGGTGTCACTCTGCCTTGTGGTGGACCCCCCGGACGGAACGTGATTCTTTGGCGCAAGGAGGGGTTCCGAGCTGGCCCTACGAGGGGAGCACACTAGTCAGCCCATGATGGGAAATCTACGATGCGCCCAATGACAACGGGCAGCGATGCTGGGCATGGATATGAGGAGCCGTGGAAATGGATAAGACGGAACCTGGGCTTTTCGTAGGGCGTTGAGAACACTGGAGACCTGCGAGGTGATCCTTGGGGGAAAATAACAGACGTGGGGGCTGGAAGGGGGCTCACTCTGAGCCTGAAGAGCTGAAGGAGAAACGCCTACCTATTTTTTCCCACCTTCGAAGACAAAGTACTTCTTTCTCTCTTCCCACCCCCGGGCCCTTGTTTCCTTTCGGTCAGGTTTTAAAGCTCAGCTGTCGTCTCGTTTTCGCTAATCCTAGTGCCCTTGCTTGTTGTTTCCTTTCTTTTGACGTCGCTTTCGCTTTTCTCACCTCACACGCGCGCTTCCAGGTTCAAAACGTCGCCAGCTCCATCGCTCGCTCGTCCGGTCGTTCGCGCCTATCCGTCGTCATACCTATCTAGTATTGCCTTAAGATTTGGGGTGCTCCTTGAGCTCGGCCATTTTGAATAGCAAAGCTTCGAATGAGCAAAAGCAGAGCATTGTAGCTAGCTCTCTCACTCTCATTCTCATTCTCACTCTCACCCCACCCGGCACTCGCCTCTCCAACATTGCTTCTCCAACATCACGTCAAGCTTACAACACACTCTTCCATCTACAACTCCTCAGCCTCGCGCAAGGCGAAACTATGGCGGATTCCGGCGAACCTCAGAGCCCGCCGACGACGGCCATGGCCTCGACGACCCTCGCTACCTCAAGCATGTCTTCACCCACCATTGCGGTAGGGTTCCACGGTGAAGGGCCCGCCGAGACTCGTCCGCCGCTTGCCCCCATGTACGTCAGTCACTGCACTACTTACTCACTTTGCTTCTCTGCGCTGCGCTGCAACTTTGCACTGCCTCCCCCGCGCGCTCCACCACTGCGCGGCGAGCTACTCTAACCTCTTCCTCGCCCTACGCGGTACAGATCCGATTCGGCTGCCCAACCATCAAAGTTTCAGAGCCCCATGAGGCATCACCGTCGAACGCCTTCAGCTCACCGTGAAGTCAAGGTGCGTGTGGTTTTGTTTTGCCAAGCTTCGTTGAAAAGCTCAGCTTTCGACCTGTCCCGCTGCTGTTGGTTGAGCGTGGTGGGGGCGGGGTAGCTGCAATGACGACGAACCGGAGCAATGTCCAGAGAAACTCACCGAGAAACTACTGTAGGAAACGCTCAACGCCGTGACAGCATATGGTACTGAGGCTGAGGATGGCTCAAGTCACCACCGCATCAATCAGTATGTCATTAAAGAGGAAATTGGCCGGGGCTCCTATGGTGCTGTTCACCTTGCGACCGACCAATTTGGCACCGAATACGTATAAGCCTCCCAAGCTTCCAAGCGATAACCCTTCCCATGCTAATGGCCATCCGTAGGCCGTCAAGGAATTCTCAAAAGTCCGCCTTCGTAAACGCGCGCAGTCCAACATTCTGCGGCAGGGCGCTCGCCGACCTCAGCGCTTCGCCCCCCGTGTTAGTCTCAACGCGCCGCTCTCACCTCATTTCGGCGAGGAGGGCAACGCTGGTTGGAACGTCAACGATGCCCTGTTCTTTATCAGAGAGGAGATTGCCATCATGAAGAAGCTGAACCACCCGAACCTGGTCCAGCTGATTGAGGTGCTGGACGACCCGGAGGAAGATTCACTGTACATGGTCCTTGAAATGTGCAAGAAGGGAGTCGTGATGAAGGTCGGATTCAACGAGAAGGCGAAGCCATATGGTGAAGATTCTTGTCGTTATTGGTTCAGAGACTTGATTCTAGGCATCGAATACTGTAAGTTGGCTGCCACGTATACCCTGACCAACCAGGCTAACACGGTCTAGTACATGAGCAAGGCGTCATTCACCGGGATATCAAGCCGGACAACCTTCTCCTTACCGACGACGATGTGCTCAAGATTGTAGACTTTGGCGTCTCCGAGATGTTTGAGAAGCCGGGAGACCCCATGAAGACGGCTAAATCGGCAGGATCCCCGGCATTCCTTGCACCCGAGCTCTGCGTGGTCCGACATGGCGACGTCGATGGCAAGGCTACGGATATCTGGTCCATGGGCATATCGCTGTACTGTCTACGCTACGGCAAAATCCCTTTTGAGCAAGAGGGTGTGCTTGAGATGTACGAAGCTATCAAGACAGATTCTCCTGAGCTGCCCGGGGATGAGAATCCCGACTTTGTGGACCTCATCTGCAGGATTCTGGAAAAGGACCCCAAGAAGCGCATCCAGATGCACGAGTTGCGGGTGAGGACTAGCTTTTCTTCTGTGGCTAGATTTTTGTTTTGCTAATCATTAAATAGGACCATCCATGGGTTACGAAACAGGGGACAGACCCTCTGCTATCAAAGGAAGAAAATTGTTCCAAACTCGTGGAGCCCCCAAACGAGCTTGAGCTAAACCGCGCTTTCACGCGGAAGATGAACCATCTCCTCTGTGTGGTGAGCAGCACACCCACTTGCTTGTTGCTGCGCTACAAAGAAGCTAACAACCACGGCAGATGAAAGCAATTCATAAGTTCAAGAACATCCTCACAAGGCAAAGAAACGCCAAATCGCGCGAAGGTTCCCAGACAGACTCCCCCCGCTTGGGTGCGATGCACGAAGACATTGAGGCCCTTCTCTCGAAACGCCGCGAGTTCCTCAAGAAGAACGGCCTCGCCGACGTAACCAAGACCGCACCCCCCGAGAGGTCTGACTCGGAACCCCGCATCCTCGGCATCGGCATCGGTTCTCGGGACGAGTTCGACAAGGATGAGCCCTCGGCCGGCGCCGTGGCCGAATCGCCGACCAACGTCGACTTCAACATTTATGACAAGGCGTACGAGGCCGAGGTAGAGCGCATCATGAGAAAGCAGACGCGGCAGAAGACGATGTACCTGACGCGCTTCGTTAAAGACCGCGAGCATTACAAGGAGGTCGCCAATGTCGTGGAGGGTACGTCGGCGGGTGTCACGCCCGTGGGGACGCCAAAGGCCGATACGAACCTGGCTGCTTCAAAGGGGCGGTTCGCTGATTTGGTTCATAGCATGACTGGTGCTTCGAAAGCCAAGGCTGCCGACGAGAAGGAGGAGAGTTAAGAGCGCTGGGAGGCGAGACGAGATGTGAGTGCCCAAGGAGGCACATACGGCCTGGCGTTTTACGGGCAAGCATGAAAACAGCTCTAATTGTCTGGTATTTTCCTTTTGAATATGATACCTGTTCGTGTCCACTACGAGAGACAGAATTTCATCACTGGTTCAACTTTTGAATACCTGCAGCGAGATCCACCGTGGTTCAGTCGAGAGCTGTCTTTAGAGACGCTGAAGGTAACCCGGGTGAACAAGCATGTCAATCCTCTCAACCCGCATGGCACGTAATAGCTACTAGTACAAGTTGCTTATCCCGTGTCGCACATTACTTGTCCTTGAAAGATTACCACCAACAACCAACTGCGACCAGTTCCTTTCCCTAGCCCCCCTCCCCCAAATCTAGTCCATCCTCTTCTTCTATGTGCAACATTCAACTTCCACCTGCCATTCAGACACTCACAACGCCCTTCCTTCAATTCCATCAGTTGACTAGGTGCTTTCACGTGATATGACCAAAATGGTAAGGTAACCCCGGACGTGCATGTAAGGCACCCCAGGTCAACCGGGGTGGCCCCAGGGGACAGATACCTGGATACTTGGGTATATAGGCCAACTGCCGTTCGACGACAGCCAACATCATCTTGAGCTCTTCTCAGATACCTATCCCACAACATTCTACCACTCAAGCCCCTTCGAAAAAAACATGTCGTCCTGCACAGTCTGCAAAAAGGGTCCGCCCCAGGTCAATCTAAAAAACTGCGCAAAGTGCGCCACAACACCATACTGCTCCCGCAACTGCCAAAAGGCCGACTGGAAATCCCACAAAAAGACGTGCGGCCGGACCGACGCCTCCACACAACCCCGAGGTGGCGGTCCCTCCGGCACCGGTGCCGGCAACCCCACGTCCGCCGGCACTGCGCTATCCCCGCCAAAGGGCCTAGACCAGCCCGTCACCCGGCCCTTTACGCGCCTCGACAACGGCACCTGGCTCCACGACCGGCCCGAGGCGGACGTCTACCGCCTCCTCATCGACGCGTACCGCCTGCACGTCGAGGACGAGTACAACATCGACGGGGACGCGGCCGAGGACAGCATCTACGGCGGCGCGGACAATGGGCTCGAGGGGTTCCGGCGCTTTTTGAAGAACGCCGCGAAGCGGAAGGGGCTGTTGCCGACGTGGTGGAGCGCGGAGAAGCAGGCGGCGTGCGAGCGCGTGGGCGGGGCGGACGAGGAGGACGAGGAGGAGGGCGCTGATGCTTACTATGATTTGGGGTCCGCTGTGGAGAAGGCTGATATTATTGAGCGGTATGGCGACCCGCGGTTCCCGATGCAGCTGCGCATGTTTGCCGAGGCGGTGAATTTGAGGGGCCCGGGAGGGCAGGATGGCACGCCGATGAGGAAGATGATGGCTTCGATGGAGGGCGGGGCGTATGGGCCTGCGGCGATGGGGTCGACTATTGATGTGACTACGATGAACAGGTCGGATTTTAGGCACTGAGGTTGGAGGCCTTTTAGAAGCGAGGTTAGCACTGTAAAGTCGGAAAAGTGGTAGATTTTGGAAGTATGGGCGAGTATGGATGAAGCAGTAGGTTGATACGGTTGCCCATGGTCGGCCTACTAGGATGATCAGATGTCCAGCGTGGAAGTCTACTCGATACCAAGTGAAAACAACTGAATGAAACAGTCAAACCAACGAGACCCCAGTCAATATGGTCCTTCCTTTCTTGCATGGTGACTACCTCGTAATACGGATAACTCTACCCAAACAGCTTTATCAACGAATCTCGTGACGAAGGGTGTCGTCAGAGAACTCCGTCTCTACAGCCCCAGTGATGGAAATGCGCGGTTTCTCTTGCGTACGCCGATTGTGGGTGCAGAGTCTCGAACCTCTCGTCTTCGATACAATTATCTCCCTCTCACTTACACGTCCATCTGTCTTGCCCCTTCAACAAGCTTCAGAGGATAATTCCATTTCACCAAGTACAGGCAACTTTCAGCCATCTTTCCTGTGATCTCACATCCATCCCCATCAAGGAATTTAGAAAGCCCCCTTCCAATTCCTGGAGATCCCCATCTCAATAAGCTTATTCGCCGGCTCGTAAGGTCGTTCAAATCGCGGCTCCAAGGCGTCCTTCTCCATCCCGAAACCATGGCCCACTGTCAAAATTCCAGGTTCCCAAGTGATAGTTTGACCCGTAACTACGGCATTACGCGGAGGTATCGGATAAGGATTCTCGCCACCATCGTACAAGAATCTCTGCAACGCGTCCTCCACCCAGACAGCCCGCCCAGCCAACGAGACACCGGGAAAGTCTCGGATGAGCAGACGAGGTCTTGCACTGGCTGTTCGCTCCTGCCAGCCCAGCGTATCACGAATCGCAAAGAGCAGATCCCTGTAGTTTCCATGGCCTTTCATAAACGAGAGGAAGCTCAGTTCCACGGAGCGTAGAGTTTGCGGGAGCGGGGCGAGGAACTCGAGCAGGTCCGACTGCCTCACAAGCCAGCGCGTCAGCCCGAAATGCGCCAAGTTCTTCCATGTTTCGACGGGGAAGACGGATCGCAGAGGGATAAAGTGATCTCTCACCCAATGCGAAGGATAATCCCCGTTTTTGAGATCGTCGTCCTCGCCAGATTCGAGAGAAAAGTGTCGCAAGTCCGCCTCTAGAGCTTTTCTCAGGCGCCCGTTACGGAAAGCGAGATAGTTGTTGGTTTCCTGCCCGCCTACCACGAGGCTCAGCTTGAGAGTTGTGAAGCCTGGCTTCTTGATCACGGCGACGAGGTTGTCATACTCGACGCACGGCTCCGGCGCGTAAAAGATGCTACAGGGCAGGCCAGACCAGATCTGATTGCCGTCAATCATGAGCTCCTTGATCTTTGTGCTTTTCTGATGAGCAAGGATTCTGACGACATGGCGGAATCCTCGCCAGCATTCTTTATAATCCTCACTCTCCCAGTCCCCAGACATCGCTTTATCTCCGTCCTTAGGAGGGACTGGCCAGCCACGAGGAAGCGGGTAGTTGAAGCCGTAGGGTAGAGCGCGAATAGCAGGGGTCGGGTATAGCGGATGAAAAAGAATGCCATGTGCTGCGGGTGTCAAGGTAATTCTTCTTAGGCTCGGGAACCTATCGTTCTCCAAAGCCCATTCGAACGCGGCTATATCGGCCGACGTAGAAAGCACATTGTTCTGTTCTGCGAGCAGCTCCTGATAGTGTGTGTAGGCGATCTCAAGAGGGAGTTGGGACTCGAGCTGTTTCGCAGTCTCGAGATGCTGAGGTAGAGTCTCAGCATCATAATCCTGTCTAATCTCCAAGTATTCAATGTTGTTTTTGCAGTGTCTGAAGTACCAGAAAGGAACGCCACGCGGGGGCTTCTCTGGCCGGTCGTCTTCATCCTCCTCATCATCGGAATCATACAAGTCTTCATCCAAGTGCCGCAGTCTAGGATCTGGAGGCGGTGGTGTTTCGTAGCGAGCATCGTCCCAGATGATCTCGCGGACATCACGGCGGAAGGTGTTGTCTTCTGCAATGGCGCGAAAGACTTTAATATCGAGGGGACTAGCGGATATAAAGACACGATTGAACCGAAGATGAGGACGGACAAAGATGGCAACTTATTGCAGGCCAACCGAAGGGCTTTGAGGTCGCAGTTGTCAAGATGCGAGAAGATGAGGGCGGAAATCTCCAGGGGTGAGGTGGCGATGAAGGCAATGACAGATGAAGACCCTGTAGAGGACAGGCCCGACTGAGAGGTTGCCATATAAGGCAGAATTTACATGCGAGGTCTGCACGAGATATTGCGGTATCTGCTTGTTGGCTGATGGCAAGGAGCCTTGCACTTTGGGGGTCTTCTATCTCTTAAGTACACAATCCAGTCAGAGTCCCATGCGAATGATTGTTGGAACAAACCCGCGGGATCCTAGTCACGTTACGCTAACGATGTGATTGTATTCGTAAGTACCCATACTTAATCTTCATTTGCATTGCTGCTTCATGGGGTCATTAGGTAGGTGCTCTGCGCGGATGCAGCGGAGTCGGGAGGATGTTCAAGGCCATAGTGCAACCAAGTCAGTACCGTAATCGAGATACCGTAGTGTACCTCGCCTCAAGCTTCGACAAATCAACTTACACCTTTCTTGCCCCCCTACAACAGGGCGTAAACCATTCCATTCGCCTGCCAGAAATTTTCAAGAAGAGTCGAGCAAAAAAGCCTGCTTCACAACACATTTTAATTGCGATTTCAGTTCCTGAGAGATGGTCTAAGCAAGTATATGTACAGGTACGAGGCAGAAAACAGGGGATATCCACGAACCAACGTGGTAATCATGCGCAGGCTTAAGCCTACCGACCCACCCGTGATGCTGCTCAGGGAAGTTGGGTGTTGGTTCTAGAAATCAGGCTAGGAAAATCACCAGCCAGCCACGCTTGCGCTCCATATGTTAGCCACATTTGTCCTGTACCATGTCTGTTGACTCTGGTCCCTCACCAGGTCTGATGCCCTAGATACGCAGGCACCATGGGTTCTTAGGTGAATATGTAGAGCCCCAGAGGATTACAATATCGAAGTTGAACGTCCACTAGAGATGCGCACCATTTTCGGCCAATCAAGGTTTCGGCATGTACCAATAGACCACAAGGATCTGTCCAGAGCCGTAACATACGATGTCGACCTTCAACCCTTGCGTCGTCAAACAAGCCCGCCAAGGTTGGGATACACCTCTAGAGAAGGGCTCATCGGGCCTGTGCTTAGGGTTTCGATATAACAAGAGACTGGTGACATCTTTGGAAACGCCTTTAGCCTAGGTCCTCGATGGATCATCGCAAATCTCGCCTCAGCGCCTTTAATATCCCGTGAATTAGAGTATCCCATTCCCTGTAACATGTTTCCAATGCGACAACGTTATATGAAAGATGTCGTCTCATTTCTTCCACAAATCTTCGCGCAGCCATCGATGCGAGCAGTGAAGACTACAGCGTGACACCCACAATCGCATCTTCATGCTGGCGTCTCCG